CGAGGCGCGCGTGCGCAGTGCTACTCGGGACCCGGAGGGCGGCTGCAGGCGCGCGTGCACGAGAGCGTCTCAGGGCGCGGAGGCTCGCGGAGCGCGTGCGCAGAGCTCCTCGGAGCGGGGCGGAGGGGGGGGCAGTGGCGCGCAGCCCCGGAGCGCGCGTGTGCGGCCCGGCGAACGCGCGCCGCTCCCTCCGCCCCCGCCCGGCCGTGACGGCGGCACAATGGCGGCGCCCATACCCCCGCCGCGGCCCGTCACCCACCTGCTCTTTGACATGGACGGCCTCCTCCTGGGTGCGTAGCTGGTGCGTCCCCACTCGGGCCGCCTGGGGGGGGGGAGGGGGGCGCGGGCCGCGGGCGCCGAGGGGCGGCGGCGGGGCCGCGCGCGGGACCCTCGGTGGGCGCCGGGGGCCACGTCAGGCCGGCCGCGCGCGGGGCTCCGGCGTCGGCGCCGCCCGGGGCGCTACTTCCGGCGGCCGCGCCGCGCGTGGGGACGGAGAGCGTGGCGGGGGGCGGTGCGCGCGGGGACGGAGAGCGTGGCGGGGGGCGGTGCGCGCGGAGGCGGCGCTGGGGACCCCCGTGCGGGCGGGGGCGTCGTCCCGGCGCCGGGAGCCGGAGCGCGACCTCCGTTTCCCCGCGGGCGCGCCCGTCGGGGGTCGCCTCGGCCCGCCCCGGGGCCGTCGCGGAGGTGCTCGCGCTTGGCTGGCAGCACCGTGCGGCGCCTCGTGCGCGCGGAGGGGCTGCTGCGGGGGTGCGCGGGGCGCCGCGGCGCACGGCCCGCCCCGCGACCTCGCAGGTCTGCGCGGAGCCGGAGGAGCCCTGCTCGGGGCGGCGGCTGCCCGCAGTGACCTGCAGCTCAGGGTCGGCCGGGGAGGGGCGTGGCGGGCCCGAGCGCCGACCGCACCCCACGCTGCCCCCGCCGGCCCCGCTGCAGGCGAGGCCCAAAGGTCCCCCTGCGCCGCTGCTGGCGCGAAGGCCGGCCAGGCCTCCTGCGGGCTCTCCGACGGCCCCTTTGACGGTGCTGGGTCAGGGGCCGCTGGTCTCCGCCCGGACGACACGGAGAGGACGACGCTCCGTGCATGGAGCAGGGCAGAACCCCAGCCTCGGCGTCATCGTCCAGGACACCAGCAGGTCAAGGGCCTCTGACCTCACAGCCTCCGAAGTCCCGCTGGGCCTCCAGCAATGCCCCCACACTTCATGCAGGCCCCGGACCTGCTGCAGACGTTCACACAGTACCGCGTCTTGCCCTAAGACCCTGCACTGCAGAGCACGGGAAACTGGTTGCAGCCACCCATGGAAACAAACCCCGCAGCTCAGAGGGGTTAAGTCACTAGCCCAAGGTCACCCGGCAGAGAAGGAGCGAGTCCAGATCGGTCTGACTCTAAATACACATGCTGTGTTCATCCTCCCGGTCACGGTCACCCTGTCCCCCTGCCCATCATATCGCTAAGTCGTTCTCTGGAGATAACACTGATTTTTGTTTGTTTGTTTGTTTTTAAGGCACACATAAACAGTCACTTTGTTTTATGAACCCACAGACAGAAACTGATGAATTCCTAAGACAGGAAAAATAAAAAAAAGAAAAATCCCCGTTGAGGTCACTAATTGCAAAGAACAGTGTGTGCAGCTGCGACCTCTGAAACGACTGCATTTCAGAAACCTTCTGGGACCCATAACCCTAGTGGGTAGACATGAATTTTCCTGCCCAGGTGGTCAAGAACTTAAATTGTCAAATTCCTTACCCTCTGATAGAAGGTCCAAAGAACCTGTGGTGGGCGTCTCGTGAACGCTCATGCCCCCGAGATGCGTCACCAAAATTAAATTCATTAAAGTTCTAAATGAGCTGCACGCTTGCTTCTGTCTCCGGAGGCAAGCACAGCTGGTCCCTGAAGCCATCAGTGCGGCGTCTGGGACCCTGGCGCCTGCAGGGACAGCGACGCACCGGGGGCTCCACTGGCCCCTGGCACCGTTAGCCAGTCCTTCGATCGGGTCCGAGAACCAAGAATGAGTGCCATTTGGGAAGATTTTTCTCCGTGTTTTCTGCCCTCTGCCCCCCGCCTCTCTGCTTTAAGTCTTGTTTGAGGTAGTAAGACTTGGCAGGACTTTCTCAGGAATTCCTTTGCTCCGTTCTTTCGCAAAGCATCTTGTGTAAAACACTGTTGTCTAAAACCTGCTGCCTTACCTTGCTGGGTCCAACCAGTGCCCCCTGCTCGAGTTCCTCAGAGCCTGACTTCTTCCCAGGTATCTGCTGTTTGCGTAACACCCTACCATGAATTCGTAAGGAGTCCTTTTGCAGAAAGTCTGCTCTCTAGAACGGTCAATGTGTTTCCCCTCAAAGTTCCCTTTGCCACGGTAGGCCCCAGGACTGCTGCTCTCGGGGAAACGAAATGGAAAACACTTGGTTTCACGGGGAATGCTTCTATTCCGGAGAAACTTGTTTAATCAGGGGACGATGAGGAAGTAAATGGAAATTTTTGTAGAAATGTTGACAATGCTAGGGCACTTCCCAGTACAATTGAAATAGGAAAGGCGCTTTCGGGTTGTGTTTTTTGTTGACGCGAGGTAACAATCAGCTGTGATCCAGGTAATAATTTTGGTTCTCAGAGGCCATTTAGAAAAAGAGGAAAGGGGGCTGAGATTGTTTATGAACTGGGACAAGATTTCGAAAGAAGATGACAGGTTTTCAAACAGTCTCTTGGCTTCTGGATAGGGAAGATTATCTAGTTCGTAAATAACTGAAATTAGGAGCACAAAAGGGGTGGGCCCTTTCTCTGTAAAAGACCAGAAGTTTGTTGTGCGGAGCAGTGCTGTCTGGTAGAAATAGGACTGCATAAAACGTTGCATGGCAGCGCTGAAGAAGCAGAAACGTACAGATGAAACCAACTTGAAAGGTCTATTTTTTCCTCTCTGAACATATCCAAAATATTGTTTCTCGACCCATCAGCGTAGAAATTCCCCAGATCTGGTACCTGCATTTTTGAGACCTAGTCTCTGAAATCTGCATTTTACACGTAGAAGCTCATCTCAGTCAAGCTAGCCACCTTTCACGTGTTCCTTAGGTACGCTGGGCGAATGCCTCTGGCGTTGGACGGGCCAACGGAGGGCTTCAGGGAGCAGCCCATGATGTCTAATCTTGATACCGGGGCCAGGCGGGGGAGGGGGGGGTTAACAATATTCAGAATGTTGGAATATGTAAAATGCACTGCACGTAAAATATATTTTCTGGGTGTCCCAGACAGTGATTATGTAACATCCATAAAAGTCAGCAAAGAAAAATAAGGTCGTGTTTGAATTCTTAAAGATCAGAGAATAATAAGAGATCTGTGTGGGGCATGAGAAGGAGATTTGCACTGTTGATTATAATTTACCACGTCTCCCTAAATGCACCCGGGTTCCAGGATGCAAACGGCTGACGTGTGGCTGCTCCTTTGCATGGCAGAGTAGGTGACACCTGTGTTGGACATCTTTGTGCTGCCTTAGCTCCCAGCCTGCCAAGTCACAGTACCCGAGACTGGCGGTGCCTGTTTGTCTGGGCTCCCGGACATACTGCAAGCTCTGGGGGTACGGGGTGTGTGTGCGCGGTGCAGGGCCTTTGTGGCTGTCACTGAGTTCCGAAAGTCACTGCTTGACTGGACCGCGTCACCATCGTGCCCAGTGTGTGGCCACAACCCCTATCCCTCTGTGGTTTTGTTCACCTCGCCTAGGGTAATTTCTTTCCACCCTGGAGCATCCGTGAGGCTCATGACAGAAAGAGAATTTCCTTCCGTAAGGTTACCCCATGCTCCAGACTAATTTTCATAGGAGCCACAGCGCCTTGTTGTCTGACCCCCACATGACGTGTATGAGACTTTTTAAAGTGAGACCAGGAGCTTTTCAGTGTGTGCATTGGTTCTTCTCGTGTATCCTGTCCACACATTCCCAGGGTCCTGGCTGCTGCTCAGGAAGGTAGAGCAGAGAAAGGAGTGTTGAGGGGTCTCTGTCTGTGGTTCTCATCTGCCCTGAGGGCTTGCCTAGATCCCAGCAGCTGCAGGGCACTTTGGAAACACCCTTTGTCCTGTGCCCTGGGGTCTGACCCTGGAGTGCAGGGGCTGTCCTTCACATTCTTCCGGCCCTGCCCTCCTGGGAGCCAGCAGCGGGCTCTGGGCTTTTGTTCCGCTTGCTAGGTGGAAGTTCATTAAGTTCCTTGCAAAGAAGTCTGCTGAAATTTGGAGCCCAGTCAGAGGCCTGGCGGCAGAGCAGAGCCCACAGGAAAGCGAGCCCTGAGTCCGACTTTCTCTGTTTGGACTAAGATGCTGGTGGGCGCACCGCCCCCTCCCTGCCCCCTGGCAAGGATCCTCCCAGAGGAAGAGACTCTGTGTGTGTTGCAGGACCCTTGTCAGGAATAAGGATGCCAGCCACGTATGCACTGAAGCCGGTAAACCCTGTCGCCTTTGGGGACTCTTTCCAGCAGACGTGACCTGTGGCCCCACGCGTTCCTTCTTACAGTCACTGCTCGCTTGACGAGTGGGCACCGCGGCTGCTCCCCTTTCGAGAGCCCTTGACACATCCCCACTGCAGGCTGGAGCTCAGAGAGGAGAGTGCAGTCCAGCTGGCAGGGCGACTGACTGAGCTCTTTGCCAGAGCCCTGTCCCTGCAGGTGTGCGATGCCCTGTGCTTGCTTTCCCCTACATCCTTCCACCGCTCGGCATGCTTTGTGGGGCACCTCCGAGTCACGGATACTACCATTACGGGGCAGCCATCTCAGGATCCAGCTTTTACTTCTCCCTCCTTTCTTCTGGAAACACAGTTCAGGGGCGGACTCCTTGGTCTGTGTTGTCCTTCTGATGACGTGCCTTTGACTCTGGTTCTTTTTTCTGTGGGTTTAACTACTGTGGTTTACATTACACTCTGTCATTGTCCAGGGGTAGGTGCAGACTTCATGCCTTGTAAAAGAGCAAGGGAAGTAGTGTCCCCAAGAAACATGCACTAAAAGCACTCATTACACAGATGCCCGATGACGCCGTCACACCTTGGGGTGAGGTATTTGGAAAGTGATTCAGACGCAGCCCCTGGCTGGAAAATAGAGTGTCGTGCCACTGTGGATTACCTTTGGAAATAAATTTCCTACTGGCAAGTGTGCGTGTGTACCGGCGACTAATAATCAGAACGTTTCATCTCTGAAAACCTTCACTTAACTGTGGTTAAAATGGGTGGGGGCGGTCTGGGCTGTAATGTGCAGATCTCCATGCAGGGCATGGATGGAGAATTTTCTGGAAAACGTAATAACTGTGACACACATCATTTCTGCACCAGAA